ATAACATTCAGGAATCAATCACTGTAATTCACCATTTTAACCTATTAATAGTAATTAAAAAAAAAAACCCATTTGACTATCTTTTTTTTTTTTTTAAGATTTTATTTATTTATTTGACAGAGAGAGACACAGCGAGAGAGGGAACACAAGCAGGGGGAGTGGGAGAGGGGGAAGCAGGCTTCCCACCGAGCAGGGAGCCGGATGCGGGGCTCGATCCCAGGACCCCAGGACCATGACCTGAGCCAAAGGCAGATGCTTAACGGCTGAGCCACCCAGGCGTCCCTCCATTTGACTATCTTAATTGATGCAGAAAAGCATTTGACAAAATCCAACATCCATTTTTGATAAAAATCTGTCAGCAAGCTAGGAATAGTAAGGAGCTTCCTTGACCTGATAGAGAACATCTACAAAAACTGATAGCTAACGTTATTCTTAATGTGAAAGACTGAATGCCTTTTCCCGAAGAAAGGCGATGTATGTTGTCCACCACTATTTACCTTTGTATAGGTGATTCTAGCCAGGGCAGTTAAAAAAAAAAAAAGTCATCCAAATTGAAAAAAGTAAAACTGTCTTTATTCACAAGTGATATGGATGTCTATGCAGAAAATCCTACGGCATCTACCAAAAGAGTAAAGTATTAGAATGAGTTTTACAAAGTTGTAGGATATAAATCAACATAGAAAATCAACTATATTCTTTTATAGTAACAACGAACAATTGGGGATTAAAATGAAAACTATCACTTCTTTTTCTTTATTTTTATTTCTTTCTTATTTATTTAGAGAGAGAGCACACACGTCTGCATGAGTAGGGGTGAGAGGCAGAGGGAGAGGGAGAGGGAGAGAGAGAAGAATCTTGAGCAGGCTCCACACTCAGCACGAAGCCCAATGTGGGGTTTGATCTCATGATCCTGAGATCATGACCTGAGCCAAAACCAAGAGTCAGATGCTTAACCAACTGAGGCACCCCCAAAACTATCACTTCTAAAAGAATTAAGCAATATAAAACACATAGGGATCAATCTAATGAAAATGTGAGGGATTTGTACACTGAAAACTACAGGGCATTTTTAAGAAAAATATTAAAAGACCTAAATAAATGGAGAGATACTGTGATCATGGATCAGAAGACTCAATATTGTTAAGATATCAATTCTTCCCAAATTGACCTATAAATTCAATGTAATCCCCATCAGAATCCCAATAGACTTTTTTTGGGGTGAATTTATAAGATGATTCTAAATTTATATGGTAATACAAAGGACCTAGAATAGACAAAAATAACTTTGAAAAAGAAAAATAAAGTTTGAGGATTATATAGTTTCGCAAATATAGCTATAGTGATCAAGATGGTAGAGAATTGACATAGACAAATTGATCAATGGAACAAAATAGAGAATTCAGAAAAAGGCCTACCTACACATAAATGATCAATTGATTTTTTAAAAATTTTATTTTATTATGTTAATCACCATAACATCATTAGTTTTTGATGTAGTGTTCCATGATTCATTGTTTGCGTATAACACCCAGTGCTCTATGCAGAACGTGCCCTCTTTAATACCCATCACCAGGCTAACCCATCCCCCTGCCTCCCTCCCCTCTAGAACCCTCAGTTTGTTTCTCAGAGTCCATAGTCTCTCATGGTTCGTCTCCCCCTCCGATCTTCCCCCCTTGATTTTTGACAAATGTGCAAAGGCTATTTAGTAGCTATTAGTCGTTACAACAAATGGTTCTGAAACAACTGCATACCCATATGCTAGAAAATGAGCTTTGATCTACGTATCACACCATATATAAAAATTAACTGAAAATGGATGCTAGACCTAAATGTAAATCTAAAATAAATTTTTTAAACGATTTTATTTATTTATTTGACAGAGAGAGAGCGAGCACACAAGCAGGAGGAGCAGAGGGAGAGGGAGAAGCAGACTCCCCGCTGAGCAGGGAGCCCGATGCGGGACTCGATCCCAGGATCTTGGGATCATAACCTGAGCTGAAGGCAGATGCTTAACTGACTAAGCCACCTAGGTGCCCTAAAATAAATCTTTTAGAAAAAAAGGGGGATCTATGTGATTTCTTTTTAATTTTTTTTAAAGATTTTTTTTTAAAATTTTATTTTAAGTAATCTCTACACCCAACGTGGAGCTCGAACTCACAACCCCGAGATCAAGAGTCAAATGCTTCACTGACTGAGCCAGCCAGGTGCCCCTGTGATTTCTTTAGATCTTTGAATCTTTAATATTTCCTAGATGTGACATCAAAGGCATAGTCCATAAAAGAAAAATTGGTAAACTGGACTTTATTAAAATTAAATTGAAAGCCACTGTTCAGAGAATGAAGACACAAGCAAAAGACTGGGAGACAATATTTCATATTTGATCACATGTCTGATAAAAGACATATCCAGAATATTTTTTTAAAACTTCCAAAACACAGTAAGAAAAGAACTCGAAAAATGCGCCAAAGACTTGAACAGACACTTCTCCAAAGAAGATAGGTAGTAAAGAAACATGTAAAAAGATTCTCAATGTCACTTGTCATTATAGAAATGCAAATTAAAATCACACCGAGGCACTACTACACAACTCTTAGATAGCCTAAAGTTAAAAGGATGGAACATACCAAGTGGTGGGGAAGCTGAGGAACACTTGAAACTATCATAAACTGCTGGTGGGAATGTAAAATGGTGCAACCACTTTGGAAAACAGTTAAATCGTTTTGCAAAAAGGTAAACATATTCTTACCGTATGTCCCAACTATTTCATTTCAAAGTATTTGGCTAAGAGAAATGAAACCATACAAACATTTTTACATGACGATTCAAAGGAGTTTTATTACTAATAGCAAGAACTAGAAACAACCTAAATGTCAATTAATAGGTGAACAGATAAGTAATGGTATAGCTATGCAAGTGAATACTTCTCAGTAAAACAAAACAAAACACAAAAAACAAAAAAAAGCCAAAGTACATACTGTATGATTCCATTTATAGAAAATACCAGAAAATGCAAACTGAATCTATAGTGAAGAAAGCAGATTAGTGGTTGCCTGGGTGCAGAGAGAAGTGAAGAGATTGAGAAGAAGGATTCTAAGGAGGCACAAGAACTTTTGGGGTGGTAGGTATTTATGTTCAATATCTCTACTGTGGTGATAATTTTTTAAGTTTATATAAACATGTCAAAACTTGTCAAATTGTATACTTTAAATATGTGCAGTTTATAATGTTAATTATACCTCAATAAAGCTATTTTTAAAACTATTCTTATTTATTAAAAGACTTGTTTTTTATGTGCAACCAACGGCAATTCAGAAAAAAAACGAACTCCATTTAAAATAAAAACATTTCTTAACAAATGTTCCACAGTTCACTTCTCTTCTGAATTCACACTAGTGTTCAGATAGTTCAGTCAGAATTTGTGAATGTAAACCACATACAAAAGACTTCTCTAATTCTATGGATTTCAAATCCAACAATTTAGGGGTTATTATATTCTGGGTGTGCTGGTATATATGACAGGCTTTTATAATAAACCTACAGATACATATTTTGAATATAGAATAAGGGCTCTTGAGAAAGCAAGAGAGAACACCTGGCCCATTTTTCACTAACCTTATGGAGGTAGATATCTAAACCACATATGTTGGAGAGCTTTTTAGATCAGCTCAGCGAACCCATTAACTGACTAAGTAGCCGCTTAAAACAGATTTCTCACCATGGCTGACATGAAACTGCCTGGTGGGCAGAAAGCGCACAGGTGTGAATTCAGAAGGAGATCTGGATTCAGGTCCCATCCCTGCAATTTACAGCCTCAGGCCTTACTATCAGCCCACCCCAAAACAGAGGTGACTGACACAGTGCCTGTGAAGGTGTTTGCTGAACTGAACCTTTGTTCTTTAATAAGGCTTTGTTTTTCTCATCAATACTCTGTTTGAAAGCAGAAAGGCTACAAATGCAAGGGCTGTTTGGCAAATACTTAGCCAAGGCTAGGTAAAGAAGAAGTTGATGTCAGTGCTGCATGTAGAATGGCATGATCACCTAAAGTTTTCAAAAGAAAAGAAAAACTCCCAAGGTCCAGGCTCTACGCAACATCAATTAAACCAGTTCTCCAGGGATAAGACCCACATCAGTATTTTTAAAATGCCCCTCATGTGATTTCAATACATGGTGAAGTTTGAGAATCACTGACCTACATACCCAAGCCATTTTAGCATCAGTTTCAACCTGATCTCCAATATTCTAGAATGAGTCTCAGAAATGGATTCTGTATTCTTGGGCTCCTGACTCTATCCATGCTCCTGGGTCACTTCCTATTGGCAGAATCTCTATTCTTCTTCCCTCACTCTCTCTGGATGATCATAATGGTTGTGTTTCCATCTTTAGAATGACCGCCCAATCATTTGCTTGTTAGTTTGGTGTGGGGTAACTTTTCTGAAGCATTCTATCACAGTGGGTCAGCAGAAGTCATCTTTTCAACAATTCTTTGGTCCCCTGATTTTGGAAAACTGATCAATATGCTCTCTCTATTCCCTCCACTCCCCCAAATCTTGTGCATACCTGAAGACAGTAATCAGATAGATATCTTTCTGAGAAACTACAATTCATTAATATTTCCTTATATGTCTATTTTCTTTCTCTTTAGTCCTTCGACCCATTCTAGTTATTTAACAACTGTCTCTTTATTGCAAATATCACTTTAAAAGCCTAAGGAACATTTCTATCCCTTATTCAGTTTTGGATTTAAAGTCAACACTGAGAACAACAACAGCAGACAATATGAATTCCTTGGCGGGGAAAATTCTTGCATTTCACATTCCAAATGCAGAAAAAAAATGTTATGAGAAATCATTCTTATAAAAGTACTACATACATAGCAGACACTTCTTTCGTCCTTTTCAAATATTTCGAGGTTGCTCCGGCTAGTAACAGTGTCAAGTATTTGTCTGGAACAACGGAACATCAATATCTCACAACCATCTCCACTGTAAGAGATGGAAAAGCAAATGATTATATTTTACCTTTAGAGAAGCCCTCTCCAGTGCATTTGCTAATTATGAGTCAATCTGTCTCTTGCTGCTGATGACTACTTGTTAGTATACTGGAGCAGTGCCTTCTGAGGCTGTTGTAATTGAAGGTTTGCAAGAGCTTCTATTGCTGAGGCACACAGTCCAACTTAAGACAGATGTGATCAGCCTTGTTTTTAACAGAACTGAAATAACTGGAAATCTGTGATTTGGCTAATTGCAGGCTTCCTGGAAGTATCTTAATGCAGGAAAAACTTTGGCCATCCTCTGAAAAAATACCTTCCTTAACTCTCACTGCTAGGCAGCCCCATTCTAAGTGCCTCACCTCTCAAGGCAGCACAGACCAGAGAAAGCAATTGCTAAACCATTGAGTAAATAACCAATCTTTAAAATATACTTAGAGGTAAGAACTAAAGTCAAATCAATTCTTGTGGCAGAAGGTATTAGCTTAGCATTGCCTCTGGAGAGTAGACTCTCTGGAGCCAAAGTTTCAAAATTCTGACATATGGAAGTCAGCTCTTAATCTTTTCAATGATACATAAATGTGATTAAGACCATATTTCCTCTGGTGCTCATTTCCCCTCACATCCTAACACCAGTACAAAAAAATGACTTTGGAGGATACATGTATTTGCTTCCTTTGGTACTGTTATTTAGAACCCTTCAAGAGAGGTCCATGGCCTGGCCCAAAACTTGAGAGGATTCTGCTCTGGACCCCTCTGGTTGTATCCTAACCCATGGGGTGAGGATTCAGCAGGACCAAGGGGACATCCCCACTTGCTGTATATCCCCCCAATCCCTTTCTAGGCCACACTCCATGTACCAGAGGCCTTAGAACTGATCACCTACTGGCACCTCCACCAGCCAGGTATTCCACCAGCTTTCGGGCATTTGATGACAGATAAAACATACAGAGAAGATGAAACTCAATGTTAACTGGAGGAAGGTGACATGTAAACAAGAAATTACAACATTTAACACATGCTATGAAATTATTAGCAGAACACGGGAGTGGGTACCGAATGCAAGCGTGGAATGCAGGAAGATTTCCCAAAGAGATGTCAGCCAAGCTGAGTAGTCCAGGAGGAGTTATCTGGCAAAGAAGGTAAATAAGTGTCGACTCAGAAGACTTCTAAATTCTATCAGACAGGGATACACAGGAGAAAGAGACACACAGGAATTAATATCTGTTGTAGACTGCCAGGCACTTCGAAAGTCCTTTACATGTATTAAATAACCGATCTTCATGACCACATGGTCAAGAGGGTATTACTGACACTATTTTATAGGAGAAAACGAAGACCCAGGGAGGTTAAGCAAGTTGTTCCTAGTCACGGGACTGGAAAGTGGCATGGCCTGGATTCAAACCCAAGAACAGGAGAGATTCCCTCCATTGTTTCAAGGCTCACTAAGCAGGGAAAGCATGTTGAAACAAAACTCGGCCTTGTGCTTGCCAGTCACAAGTGTCAATCCTCTCTGAGAGAAATGAAGAGGTGTATCTACCAAGTGCCCTTCGGTTTCTCATGGGGGCCAGCATGAGCCCAGAATGGTAGTTGGCAGGGCTGAACCTGCAGCTGAGATTTCCACGTTCTTGGTCGGTAGTTGTCGGGCACAGTGCACGTGCTGCCTAGAGGCTTGTGAGGCTTTGCTCTTTAGGGTCACTTAATATTTTCCTTCAGATGGACCTACCTTATCTCCAAACACTGAAAGTGAGCACAGGGTGTCTGCTCCTACTTCTCTGAAAGGCCACATGTATGTATAGAACCCGTGTATGTAATTTGGCCTCAGATTATAGAATTTCTTTTTTTTTTTTTAACTGTCACCATCAGATGTGAAAATATACTTAGTAATATAGGTCAAATTGTCAAATAACTCAGTTTTTGATTACAGAAGTAGAATGAGAAGGCTTCTGGGGTGTTAATTGCACAAGGAAACATGGTTTTTATACAATTTGTATTTATAGACCTATGTATACGGGATATATAAATACACATATATGTAAATATGTATGTATTTTCTTTACAATCATATATATAGCCTTATATAATTTGGGGCTATATTATGGTCCAAATGCTGCTTCCCAGAGGTACTCTTTATTTCCTTTAACTCCATGGAAGTAGAGACTATAGAGTTTTGAGGAGCTATCTGATCAAAGTTCATACCCGGGACAGGGGCCTGCTCACAGGAAAGGCAGCTTATTATCTGTACTCAATGTCTTTGACTTTAGGGAAGATGATGGCATTGCAAAATTTAAATTTTTCTGATGTTAATTAAGCCAGGGAAAATTCTTGAAGCTTTGATTACAAAGGAATAAGGGGCACACTACATATAGTAATTAACAACAGCAATATAAAAGGTAAAGCTCTTTAATAAAGGCTCATATTCAAACAAATTGATGCTTATATAAATGTTTATTCTTTCACTCAGATAGGGATAAATATTATGAAGAAAAGTCCAACCAAATGAGGAGGGAGAGATGACTGAGGTGAGGTCATTTAGATTGAGTGGTCATGGAAAGTATCCCCGAGGAGGGGAATTTGAGCAGACACCTGAATGGTGTGAGGAGCTCACCATGTGGAGATCCAAATGGGAAGAAAACTCCAAGCAGAAGAATTAGCCAGAGTAAGAGTTCTGAAGTAGAAATAAGCAGTGTAGATTTTAGGAAGGCCCAGAAAGCCAGTGCGGCTGCAGAAGTATAAGAGAGGGAGGGAGCCTTAGTTGGGGAGAGAGAGAGAGAGAGGCAGGTGTGCAGATAACTGGGGATGGTAGAGAGCTAGATCATGCAGGGCTCTGAATGTCATGTGAAAGTTTGGATTTTATTTGAAATGTGATGGGAAGCCACTGAGGAGTTTTGAGTAGGAAGCAATACAATCTAATTTGTATTTTTCAAGAGTCGCTCCGGCCAGGGTATGAAAAACGGACCACAGGAGTGTAAAGGTTAAGGTCTGGAGACCAGTTCGGAAGCTACCGCAACAGTTCAAGAGGTGATGACGGATAGTGAGGTGATGCCAGGTAAGAAGGTGATACTGAGGCATGATTTGAGATATGACAAAGATGGAGCTGAAAGGATTTTCCGGTAGGTTGGTGATGGGCTGGTTTTTGGCTTGAGTATTTGGGCAAATTGGGGCACCATTAGTTGAGCATGGGAGGAATCGGGGGAGCCACAAGCCTGGGGAGGAAAATCAAGGGTTTAATGTTAGACATGTTAGGTCTCAGATACCTACTGGATATCCAAGAGGAGATACTGAATGGACAGTTGGATAAACAAACAAATTTGTACTCAGCGGACATATTAGGGCTGGCAGCAAGAATTAGGAGATACTGTTACAGATACAGTATATAAAACCATAGTCTCCGATGAAAGCTCCAAGAGAGAACCCTGGAAGTGAATGTAGATAGCAAAGGGCAGAGGGCTGAGCACTGAGTTCCAGAGCCCAGCTCCAGTGTAGAGCTGGAAGGAGAAAAAGCCAGTAAAGCAAACTGAGTATGCTGCTGGGATGGCAGGAAGTAACCCAGAAGAGTAGCTCTCGGAAGTCAAGAAAAGATTTTTTTTTTTTAAGATTTTATTTATTTGAGAGAGAGAGAATGAGTGAGAGAGAGCACGCACATGAGAGAGGGGAGGGTCAGAGGGAGAAGCAGACCCCTGCTCAGCAGGGAGCCTGATGCGGGACTCAATCCTGGGACTCCAGGATCATGACCTAAGCCGAAGGCAGTCGCTTAACCAACTGAGCCACCCAGGCATCCCAAGAAAAGATGTTTTAATAGAGGTAGGGTATGATCAACTTTGTCAAAGTTGCTGAAAGGATGAATAAGAATATCCACTTGCACAAAAAAAGAAAACTTGTAGAAACATTAAACTAAAAATTAAGGGCTCTGTAGTTATTTATGTGAGATAATGGGTTTATACAAGGTCATGATTCTACAAATATTCATTGAACAGTCTTATTGTAAAATCCAACATATAATCTAAAAAATAGTGTGACAATTTGATAACAGTGTTTATGTTAACTAGAGGCTCATCACACAAATAAAGCAATTAGCCCAAATGCCAACCAGTCAATAGCCTCCTTGAAAGGCTACCTACAGGTGGGAGAGATGATTTCCTCCACTCTCAACAATTTCAGCAACTACTATGTGAGTTGTGTTGAGGCAAAATATGAAGAGTAGGATACCATACTTTCATAAATTGGCTAAGTTCTCCTGTCAAAATGTCCTATCACTGGTAAGTCCGTATCACTGTTATCATCAAAATTTTATATCCAAGTAAATGCCTCTGTGTTCCATTTTGAATATCACCACTACTTCCATTTCTTGGCCTCTCTGCAGACATCTGGTAAAACTACTGAATTCTGTGTAGAGTATTTCCTCCTTGGATGATCTGGAACATTCAAAATCAAGGCTAACTTTCCCTTATCGCGTAATATACCCCGAATGAGTCATGCCCAAGAGCTGGTACATATTCAAAGAACATGTTTAGGGAATGTAAACCAATAGTCATGTAAGTAAACCATCATTAGAATAGAAAAAGTAGCACACAACGAAATAATCTAAAATCCAGTCCAAAGGAAACTGTATTAAATTATCCATAGCTCAGATCCCCTCCAGCTGGGTCAATAATGCATGGGGGTCCGATTACTGACTAGAGTATTTATTCAACCTCTAAAATAGTGTTAGACACATAGTAGGCACTCAATAAATAGTTCACTTGTTTTAGGAAAAAAATATGACTTTCAAGTAAGCGCTACTCTTTGGAATTCAATTTGTAATTGTTCCTCATAAAAGACTTGATGAGTACCAAAGTGGGGGCACCGTCTCAGTGCATAATGGTTTTGTTTTTCAGTAGAGTTAAAAATGCTTTAGCAACCTAAACTTACACAATTTGATTTTCTTGTCATTGCTTTCCCTGTATCACCAAAGATGATGCTTTCTTTACTATTTCAAACTCAAAAAATTGTTAAAAATCTAAAATTCAATTTGCCACATTACTGCTAATTTGAATAATGGCTGAATAAAAGATAGGGAACGCTGAAGCAGCATTGATTTCTAAAACATTTTGCACTTTTCTCCTCCATCCCTGTAAAGTAAAGCTCGGATGCTACGCACAATTACACAAGAAAATCAAGAAAGCCATTACATTCAGCATTTTGTCCTGATCATTGTTACCATGGCAAAAAGTGGGCTTAGTTTAGCACAGCTGCTACGGACGAGGTCTGCTGGCCTTTTGTAAAGCTGAGTAACAATATAATACCAAATTCTGTAGCCTGTCACTGTTTTTTTGTTTTGTTCTGTTCTTCCCCAGGATGAGACTATTGTGCACAGATGCTACTGTCTCACTCCTTAATGACCTGGGCCCATGTCATCTTATTATTGTATTCTTACTGCTGGCCAGTGACTGAGGAACACAGTTAATCTAGAAAGGTTACCCCTTGCCCTACCTCCTATTCTAAGGGGAAAAATTGCACGGTGTGAAAATGTGGCACTTCAATAACAGAAAAAGCCAAAATTTCAACAGTTGTACTATAAATGACAACAGAGATGTACTGGAAGGGGCATAGGTTTGGGAGCGAGAAAGACAAATGCATGATGACTAACTGTATGGCATATTATTTTCTCTCTGAGACTCTGTTATCTGTAAAATGGGGGAAAAGTAACTTCCATGTGAGGATTAGCTGAGAGAATATGAAGGCCCAGGCCCAGGAATTTGATAATAAAGCATCCTCCCCTCCAACCCTTTCCCTTAATCGATGAGGTTTCCATGGCTTCAGTCAGGACTGTTGATTGAAGTTGGTAGGTAAACTGTTTTTCTGTTGGAAGGCAAATCGTTTTGATCTTTGATATCACTTGGACACTTTCCTCAGAGAGCTGAGGATATGATTTTTTTAAAGGTCTGAGAGTAAGCATAAATTTCACATCCAAAGGATAAAAAGTTAGTGTCAATAGGCACCCTGCCTTATTATTCCTATTTTAAGTGCTACCAATATTATTGCTGTAAAACGGAAAATGGGAGTATATACTAATTTTGACTTTATGCAGAGATTGTTAGTTTTAAAAAATGAAGGAACATTATGAAAGCAGAGAAGTTTAAATTATCTGAAATGAATACATTAATCAAGTCTCTGTATTTACCAGAAACAAAGACTACTAGCATTTTTACCAGCTAAACAAAATACTTTTTCTAATGAGATTTCAGCCGAGTATCGTTTATCTTAAGAGAAAAATAATGGGACCTTACCTATTCCAGTAGCTCCAGAACTGGTCATGCAGGTAGGCATGGTGGCTACATTCATCACCAAATGAGGCTTTGCTTTCAATCCAGTGAATTATGTGCCCTTCTACAGCTAAGGGACAAAGCATTACTAATACAGAGCAAAGAGAAGGGAAGACTGGAAATACTGAACTCTGCCTAGGCCTCTCTGTGCTTCACATTAATGAGCGGGGGCTCGGCCCTTGCTGTCATCAATGGAATTATAAAACAACACATCATATATGTTCCTTACAAAGACCATTTATGCTATAATCACATCCCCTTTATTTTCATCATCATTTTAAAAAATCCCCCTCCTATTCTGACACTGCCTCTGTAAGTGGACAAGTACTGTGAAAGCAAACCCAAGTGAGCCAGTCTGGCTTTTCAAAGGAATCATGTTTAAAAATTCAGAATTTAGAGAAATGACCTGAAAATGGCACCCAAAATGTCTTCAGAAGATATGTTTATTGCTTAAATATATGTAAACGTTTTTAAGGCAGAGATTTCTTCTGAACCAATTATTTTCTGCTCTTCTAAAATCATCTTTTCTAACAATTTCATCCATTTAAAGCTAATCTACTCTGGTAACATTTGCTAATATTAACAAAAAGTAAAAAAAAAAATAAATCTATGGAGAAAACACATCCCCTTTCACTATAAACAAATGCATAAGACAGTTTAAGGACTTACCAACTGGAACTTGTAAAATAAAGTCTGGTGTTTTGTCATAACCCTTTGCACGGAGCTGATCTTCATCTACAGAAAGAACAAATACTATTACTTATAACAGTGTTCCATTAACAAGACAGCAATATAATTGCTTTTCTTTCTTAAAAATGTATAAAAATTGCTAATGCAGTCATACATATCTTTCTTATGCATGCAAGGCTGTGTCAGAATAAATGAACTTTCTTAACAAACCTGAAGCATAGATGTAAAAATGCCTCTTTGTCCCTTCTGCATTTTTATGTCTTTATTATAAATATCATTAATTCAAGCTGTCATATGCTACCTTTTTGTAATTGAAAATACTCAAAATAATGAAACATACTTACTGATTAAAAGAAAAGGCTTTCACCACCATGAATATCACGAATGTTATCAGGCAATATTGACAATTTACAGTGAGGCCCAAGCACGGTGGCCTTTATAACTATAAAACAAATGTTTTCATTAAAGCAATTAAGAAAGTTTAGTTTCAATTAGTAAAACTATTCCTATACACAAGAACACAGAAAGGGACAAGGACAATGAGATCACTACAGAGAATTAATTGCCCTGCTTAATTCCTTTGGTATGCTATTGTTTCTGGCATTTACCAGAGTTTTACAACTAACAATATGTAATTCTGAGAAGCAAACAGGCTTTGAGATTTTTTTTCTAAGTCCGTTCGATTTCCTGATCCTCTGTAAATATCAATGATCCATTCAGAAGGAAAGGAGGCAGGAAACAGGGAGCTTGACAAAGTTGGAAAAAACTAGCAAGGTGCTTGGTTAAAAAAAAAAAAAAAAACTTCCAATATTTTCTAAATGCTGTCCTTGACTTCTAATGGCATTACAATGTGATTTCTGAAATGAGGAGTTCTCCATTAGATTTTGGAGTGACCTGGTCATTCAATTCCAGACATGGCTTTCTGTCTTCACCCAACCTCAACTAATGGCCCAACCAAGTAACAAGGAAGGCTGTGTGGTCTCTTAACCCCTACTGGGCTGTTGACATTGTCATGCATCCCATTCGCCTTCCTGCATCACCTTTGATTAAAATTAATGGCCCATTCCCAGTGTTGGGTAGCTTATTTCCAATCCATTTGTCAGCCCAAGACAGTGGTTTCATGGCCAATGTTCAGAAACTCTGTTTTAGAACACTCTTGTGTACATCTTGAAAGGTCAGCATTTTAAACGTAAATAACCTTTTAATGACAAGCCATATTTAAACTAGATATTTAAGTGAAATTTTGTTAGAAGTGGATGTCCTTTATCCAGACTTTGGAGGATTGATGCCAGAATTCAGAACAATCTCCCCTCCTTGAAATATAAAAAATTTTAAGTTAACTATTGAGATAAGGAAATACAAATTTAAGTAATTTTACTTTAAAAACAAGAGGGATTTGGAAAACTGGACTGCAGATGAACAAGACTGGAACAAATTTCTATCCTCTCAATACACTGGCCACAACGAGAATATTTAATGGAAAAGACATTTTTTAGAAGCACCTTGAGCTGATGTTTCCCATAGCTGATCAACAGTTTTAAAAGCTGGGTTGACATTAAAAAACTGAGACTAATAATTTATTAAAACTACCCTAGCTTGATCAACCTTTGCAGATGTTAGAATCTGTTTCAGAAAGAAAAATGATTATGTTTCTGACACAGCTCAAAACAAAATTTCGAAGGTCACCAAGCTATCCAAATGCACATACTAAAACCCCTTTAAAAGCAGATGTTACACTCCTGTTCACTGCACCAAAATTACTAACACAATACCTACAATTTAAATTTTGTCACTTAATGTGAGACAAAACAAAACAAAACTTGGGCAGAAAACATCAGGTGAGGCTAGGGAATCTTTCCATCTTTCAGTGGAGAACTTGCAAGTATAACAATGTACTTTCTCACTCCACCCTCTCTCCCTCCTTCCCTCCCTCCCTCCCTCTCAGTTTGAAGTTGATACAATAGTAACTGTACCCAAAGGACAGCTTCTAGAAGTCTGTGTCACCACGACTGACATCACATTTTTTTAAAACAAATCTACGAGGTTAATCCACACATTTGAAATACCATGTTATGTTAGTGGGTCTCCTCCCCATTCTTTTATTTACTAAACTCTCACTGCCTTGCCATCCCTGTTTCAACTTTCACACTGTTACTTTCATCCTAGATTTCCTAAAAAAGAAGGAGGGAACAATGTGGGCAAAGTTTAGAGGAAATGACAGCACAAGTGTAAGAAGTAGCATTATGAGCAGGGGGTCCTGCTCACCTGGTTTAGGCCCCAGGAGAAGTTTCTATCATGGATCATCCCACTGGGATATTTTTAAGGTCAGCCCCATCCATCTGGTCTGATTTCCTGGCCTCTGTATTATGCTCCTTTCCTGGCCCCCAGACCTTTAAAGATTCCTTACCACATCTTATCCAAACCATTGGGTATGGATATAAAATTGGGTTGACCATCTTCTTGGGGTTCCAACTCCATGATCTAGAGGTTATGGCTCAGTCACCAGGCCACACTACTTCTTTTCTGTTCATTCTGTCTTCATTCCCTTGTCTTACTGTACTTACTCCCTGTTTCCCACATACTGGATGCAAGGCATCTGCTCTGAAGACAGTTAATGTTTCCTTTTCTTTTTTTAAAACCTATTCATTGCCCCACTCTTACCACCAACGTATGCTTTGTATTTAATGCTCAAATGGCTAACTGAATAAAATACAACTGCATTTTAAAGAATACCCATGCCTTCTACAAAGCCTACCTAGACTGACTTAATAATTTTCTTTCCTGATTTAACTTCTCATTAATCAACAAGGCACAGGGGCAACAAATGTGGCCCAAAGTTCAAGGTTTTATTTGATATCTTTTACTGCTATCTTTCATCCTTGGTCCCAACTGTTTGCTCTGAGGTTCATCTCAATCATTCAAGAAGGAACTGCATCCCTTTCCTTAATACCCATGGGAAGTTTTCCTACTTTTTTTCTTTGATCTGCAATATTTTAAATAACATTGGTATTATCCATTCCTTAAAGTATGGGCAGAATTCCTCACAAACAACAGTCTGGGCCTAGCGCTACTTTGGTGGGGCGGCTCTTTGGTTACTTTTCCCATTTCTTTGACGGCTACCAATCTGTTTAGATTTTTGTCTCTTCTAACAGTCAGTTTTGCAATTTATATTTTCCTTGAGAATTATACATTTCATCGAGGTTTTTATAGCTCTTTGTACATATTGGAGCCAAATGGTTACTTAGGATTCTTTGAACTTCCCAAGTAGAAAATTGGATGTTTCAGTAACCTAATGTTTTCTTTAAGAAAAAAAAAAAAAAGGATCAGAATTAAGGAAAAAAAGAAGAAGAATATTAGCTAGAAAGGACAAAAAAAGAGTAACAGTAATGTTTGAGAATAGTGCTTTTAGTATAACTTCCCAAATCGTTGGGGATCAATATGAAATCAATCTCCAATCCTGTATAACCATCTCATTCAGTGAATATAGCAAATATGAAGTAAGGTCATATTTAAGGTGTATGTTAAAAACACCCAATATATTTCATAACTACTAAGCTTGTTGATGTCACAGTTCAAGTGTTCATTATCAAAATTAACAGAATATTCTTGCTTAAAAGCAGACCTCTTAGCCTCGAGATCCACAAAAATGTGGGATTTTTAGATAATGTGTGTGACCCATGAAACACAGTATTTCTGAACTTGTAAAGTCTTAGAGATTGCTAGTCCAATATTCTAACTTACACATAAGTGGCCCAGAGGACTGAGGTGACTCACCATAACCTAGGCCTCTCGGATAGCTAAAGATACAGACAAGAGCCTACATCAACCACATTCTAGTTTGTCCCAACAGACCACATACCACTTTTAATTATGGCAAATATTTAAATTTGATCACGTGTGACATTTATGAAGTAGCGAAAAAATTCTAATTCTACTCCTAGAGGATCTTGAAGCATAAGAAGGGTGATGACTATCTGTCCAATATTATTTAGGTGATGTGTGCCTAAAGAGGAAATGAACTAGGTAATCTCTTGATTTCTAGCATTACAATGGCCCTCTCTCCAACTGAAGTTTAAAAAAATCAATGAAACTGCATCCACAGATAAAACTGATGTTAAATTTTTAAAAGCAACCCAGGTCTTCATTTATTTTTAAGTTGCCAGGCCTGCCTTTGGAGGGGATTTTAAAAAGGAATTACACATACGTAAAGAACACTGTGAAAGTTTAATTTCTCTGGTCTTTTAATTACCCTCGCCTCTAAATGCCCCAAAATATCCAAAGCAATTAAGTACTAATTACACAATTTCTTTTTCTAAAATAAAGGGCTGATTTTGAGTCAGAGAACAAAACACATCTGAAACTAGTTAACTTATACTTAAGAATCATAGAAGGGCATGAGGACTACCAAGGAAAAGTTTGAGGTTTTCTTTTGTTTTATTAAAAGGCTTTAAATTTTTAAGAAATACAGTTTTTCCCAGGAAAATTATGCAAAATTCCAGTTCATGACATCTGAAAACGAAAAGTAACATTCTGACATGGCCTTTTATCTATGAATTTGTCAAAAGGTTTCTAAAATGCTAGGTTAAAATACATTGTATGATAAAAAGAATCTTAACACCTATTACATTTCTACTAAATTGAGGAAAGGCAAAAGATATATATGAACACAAATGAAAACTACAGTGTATCTTTTCTACTCTAGTATTTTGTTTTTCTGTGTTTTTTTTTTTTTTTTTTCCCCAAAACACTGTCTCATTCAGTACCTGGAGCTATGACCTTCGTATCCGTATTTTTATGTTCTCAAAGAGTGAGTTTCAGTCTTTTTCACCCAATTTAAGAAGTCAGCAAGGATTCAGTAATAGATGTTACTATGATATGCATACCATGGGCAAAGGTACACAGAACAGCTATGCATTTAATGGGGAGACCCATAGCACAGATAAATGAAATCTTTAGAGAACCCCAAATTTCATTATAGCCATTAGTTTCAACCTCTTCCCCCAAAGCCTCTTATCAAAGCTACTAATAAGGAATACAACTGACTG